TGGCAACGTCAGTCTTTTATTTGCCATGGTAAACAGATTTTTGTAATTTTTGGCCTAATAACTTAAAGAGCAGAGTAATTTTCAAACTCAATTTACTCGAAAACCATTGGAAATGTCGATTTGGACAAAGATAATATTTTTTACGTAAAATTGTTAAGATTTTATAAATCTGTAGAGGAAATTGTAAAAAAATTTAAATAAAAAAAATTACGGGCCGAAAACCCCCTTCAGCAACCTAAATCGGACGCATATGATTGGCATGTCGAAAAACGGAGTAGCCCATGTTATTTAACGTAAAAAGTTATGTAAGACCCATACATTTTTTTTATTTTCGACCGTTTTGTCAATAACAGAAAAAAAAACAGTTTTGTTTGAAACATTTTAAGGGCATATAACTTCCTAAGTGTGCGTTTTAGGGCACATGTTAATAGGAACTTTTTGGCTTATTTTAATGAGTTATGAACTCAGCAGAAGTTTGGAACCTTATTTTAGAAACACCCTGTATAATCCAGGCATATTGAATATCAGTTTATACTTGGAAATGAACATTACCATGAGTTACTTTAATTGCCCAAATTTCATTGTTGTCATAGTAACGGCTTAGAAGTTATAATTGGAATTTGTTTTTCAAACTTCTTTCTTTGAAGGCGAATAATTCCACAACGAAGCCCTATAGGAAAAAATTTTATATGAGGCACTGCATCTATTTTGACCTCGTCTATACACCCCGTCATTTTTGACATGACCTTTCCGGACACCCTGTATTTAGGTATACACATATATTAAAAATTTGAACTATCATCCTTGCCTGAATCCTTACGTTTTTTAATGAGATCTGCATTAGGTAACATACCACCAGGAACTAGATTCCACCATTCATCAACTTTCTACATTTTTCACACACACACGCGTACTAGAGCACATCCTCGGTAGTGGCATCCCGAACCCTCGTCGAGGTTTTCCTACAAGGCGGCTCCTCCGAAGGACGAAATTACGCCACGGCAGCCTCATGCTAAAAATCACTGAACAACGTCGTATAAACTCTTTCAGTAACCCACGGTGATAGTCATTTCTCTTGCGCTCCCTGGAGTCGGCCAAGAAATGTTAACGACAGTTCTCTTCGCGGCGTGCTGTGCGCTCTTGGTGTCCGCCGAAGAAGATGGATATCCCAAGAACAACTTCGATTTGTTCCCCGAACTTCCAGTGGGAATCGTCGATACCAACAACTTCGTTTGCAGGGAACACAGTAGGCTGTACCTGGAACACCTGAAGAATCAGAGTCTCTGGGCCTATGAGAGTAAGTGTCTATCAATTGTTTCTCGAACGGCACACTAGGTTTTTTCCTGCTCTACTGAGATTTTTACGTTTTTGTGAAATTTTTTTTGTAAACTTTTAAGTAATTGGTGCAACGCGTTCGGGACTATGTAGGTTACATTTAAATGTCGAGTTATATAACTGAAACATGTACAGTGAACGGCTGAAATAAAAATTCTCTCTGAATTATAAACAGGTTTAAGTAATGATTTTGTTGGAAATATATTACAAGGCGTTTTTTGCGGGAGAGGTATTATTTCGGAACGATGCTGATTGGAAACTTTCTAAATTTTTGAGGAAATAATCTACGGAAGGCGTCGCAAATTGGGTACAAATTAATGAAACATTATTTTTTCCATGAAAGTCGAACTAAATATATTTGTTTTTAATTTCATTGTAACAAATTAATACTGAATATTCGGTTTTAGCTTAAGTTTCATAGAGAAAATATCACAAACGTTTTGATAATAAAGATAGGAGCATGGAAAATCATTTTAATCATTTCTATAAGGTGCCATACATGTATTTTTAATATGACATATTATTTAAAAACTATATACCCATTTCATTGTGTGTATAAGATGTGAAGGAATCAAATTTTTAACTGATTTTATCTTACCTTATCTTACGTTTTTATTTCGTCAGTTAAGAAACTTATACCTAAATAATGTCTATGTACAAGCCATTAACAGAAAATAAAAATGAATGTTGGAAAAATATGTTTTAATAAATATATCCTAGTGATAACTTGTGAAAATTAAATTGGTCGTATTTTGATAACAAGCCTTTTTTAGGGGATGATTTCAAGGCCCTCATAACTTTTATGAGAAAACATTTCGGGAGAATGTTGTAAAATAAAAAATGAACTTACGGGTAGCACAATATTTTTTTATTATACAAACAACAATTTTACAGTTTTTTCAAATTTTTCATCTTAAAAGTACACCAAAGTATTAGAGGCGTCGCTATAGCAGTAAATGGACGAAAAAAAAAATAGATTAATTGACGTCCGCTATTTTATTGTTGAAATGTGCAGGGAAAGGCAGTAGAAAAAGTGTCTCATCTGGTGAGTGAGATTTTTTCTTTAACTATATTGTTTTTTTTAACAATTTGGCCGAAAATCAGTTTTTCCAATATATTGGAAAAATTATTGATTTGAGAGAAAAGTGTTGACCAGGCGAAATATGCGCAATAAAAGGACCTACAAAATGTCGTCTGATAGATTAAAATCGGATAAATTGTTTAAAAGTTATTGCAAAAAACTTAAAAAAACGTGACATAAACAGCATTTTTTAATAATTATCCATGGCATTGATTTGTTACAATTTTATAAATATGCCTAAAAGTTGTGTTTTATTGTTCTTCAGAACTGTCCCAAAAATGGGCGCTGTGGGCACAATAGTATTTGCAAAATTCTATTTCTATCCCGTCAAGGGCGAAAATGCGTAACTTTAACCTTTTTGTCTCTCCCAAAGGTTTAGAAAGTATATTTTTAAAGCTGAAAACCAAACTTAGCTTTGTATTTAAATGGAAATTTGATTTATTGCCAGGGTCCCTTTCAATTTTTACATTAAAACATATTTTTTACTTTTTTTTTATAAACATTTAGATTATTTTCAAAACCATTCACAATATTTAATTATAAAAAGTGTGATTGTTTAGCCAATTAGGCTCACAGCGCCCATCTTTCGTATAGTTTTGAAGAACAATACTCACAACTTTTAGGCATATTTATAAAATTCCAACAAATAACAACCAAGTTATGGATATTAAAAAATGCTGTTTTTCCACATTTTTTTGTTTTTTTGCAGTAACTTTTAAACAATTTATCCGATTTTAATCTATCAGGTGGCATTTCGTAGGTCTTTTTATTACGCATATTTCGTCTATTGAACAAATTTCTCTAAAATTAACAATTTTTCCAATATATTGTTGCTAATAAAAAAAATTGACTCACCAGATGAGAGACCTTTTCTACTGCCTTTCCCTTCACATTTCAGCAATAAAATACCGGACGTCAATTTATCGATGTTCAAATATTGTAGCGACGCAACTTTGTGTACATATAACTACAAAGACAATTTAATTTTATCAAATATGAGAAAAATGCATATTTGTGTCTACAGTTAATTATGGAAAAAGATGTTTTCACGAACATGTAGTTACAAGCCTTTTCGAGATCTCAAGGTCAGCAAGCTTTATTTTATTTTTTCAATTTGCAAAATTCGTTCGAAATTTTTTCACCATGGACATAGTCTGTGTGAGCATAGAATCATAGAAATCATCTAAAAAATAAGGAAGGGACATTGTTTCAAATATATTTGAATATGTTTTATACAGAATAATGAATCGTGGGTTATTGGTTTACATAATATAACGAGCGTTCAAATAAAAACGTGGTCAAGTTGGTTCTGAAAATTTGGACGTAGGGTGTAGCGTATAGCAAATGAACTTAAACGTCATCTGTCAAAGCGCTATATCGCCGCTATCAATTTGAATATTTTCGTTTTAAAAAGCGTTTAAAATAGTGTCTCAAGAACAAAAAGTGTTTATCATAGAGTCCTACTTTAGAAATGGACGCAAGATTGATGGAATATGGAAGTATTCTATTGAGGAATGTTTCATAGAATTTCAAAATCAATTTCCCGGCGTTGTTGAGTACAAAATTTTTCAAAGTGCAGTTCAGCGTTGTGTTAATGTTTTTCGTGAAACGGGCAGTGTAATAAGAAAAGAAGGAAGCGGCCGATCTAAAAAGCGGACTGAAGAATTAAAAGAAAATGTCCAACAAATAATGGAAAATGCGCCAAGAACTTCTGTACGTTTTTTATCACAAATGGTGGGAGTATCAGTCGGTACCTGCCACACAGTGTTAAAAAAAGATTTGCGTTTGTTCTCCTATCGTTTAACTTGTCAGCAAGAACTTCATGAAGTTGATTTTCCGCGACGGGCTGTATTTTGTGAATGGTTTTTAAACAACTACGGTGAACTTCATAATATCACCTTTTTTTCTGATGAAGCCTGGTTTCATTTAAGTGGTTACGTAAACTCACAGAATATGAGAATATGGTCTTCTGAAAAACCAGATAACTTTTTTGTCGAGGGCCCTCTACACGCTCAAAAAATTGGAGTTTGGTGTGCTCTCAATCGAAGGAGGATTTATGGACCTATTTTTTTTAATGGTACTCTTACTGCGCAAAGGTATAGAGAAGAAATTATCGCTCCTTTTGTTAACCAGCTGGAAGAAAACGAAATTACAAACTTTTACTTTCAACAAGATGGCGCAAGGGCACATACGGCAGGCGAGACGATGAATATGTTGAGGGAAGTTTTCTAAAATCGACTAAAAAGTCTCAATGCTGGACATGAATTTCCACCGAGGTCATGTGATATTACGCCGTGTGATTTCTTTTTGTGGCCTTACCTTAAAAACACTATTTTTGAACTGCATATTCCTGATTTAAACCATCTGCAGGCTCGACTTATAGACAAGATTCGTGAAATTAACAATACCCCGAGCATCTTAGAAAATGTCTTTAATTCTTTGAGGAACAGGTGTGAAAAGTGCTTGGAACAAGGAGGGGGACACTTTCAGCAGCTGCTTTAATTTATTGTTATAACAAGGATGGGGACACTTTCCGCAGCTCCTTTAATTGTTTGTTATTGTTATCACGATTATTCTTTAAAATAAAGTTATATAGTCATTAACGTTATTGAAACTGACAGCTGGTTGAGAAATGAGGTTAAGTTGGTCGCTATAAGCTACTCCCTACGTCCAATGTGTCAGAGCCAACTTCGACCACGTTTTTATTTGAACGCTCGTTACTTAGTTAATAAAGGTTAAAATTTAGGACATTGAAAAGTCCAGAACTTCTATGCCTCTGAATTTTCTAGAAATTCGATAAGATCATTTTATTCCTAATCGAGTTTACTGTTTTATTTAAGAAGTAATTATTGTTTTACTACTTGGTTGTGCAAATCGAAAATAACTTGTTTTACGAACATATTTAGAGAAATGTTTTGTTCCATATATGATTTTATATCATATGTAGATAATTCTACCAGCGTGGGGTACAATTTTAAAAAAATTTAAATATTTAAAGCAATCCTTTATTTGAACTTTTGATAGTTATACACTATCGAATATAAAATTTTGAACAAAAAATACATATAATTTGTTAATCGATTAATTTTAGAGGTGTTTTAATTTGAATCAATTGTGTGATATGCTAATTTTAAATTTTAAAAACTGAGAACACGGAAATGACTCGTTTTTTCCAATAAAATGTAATACATTTTTATTCTTTTGATCATAATTAAAAATTGAATTTCCAAAACTATCAGTGGTCTGAAATTTTAAGATTTCCATTGACAGCACCTTCTGGTATATCCGTCACTGGTTGATATATTTACAAGCTTAGAGAAAATAATAGAAAAGTAATTACATCGAAGTGCAAAAAGTCAATTGAGAGACATATTTTTGCAAAAAGAATATATGTTATATAATAATATGTACTAATTTACCACAATAACACGAAGACATATTTTTAGAAACGCTGATTCTCATCCTTTTATGTAGAGGAAGATTCCATAGGTTCTCAAAAAGTAACAAAAGTTTTAATTATTAGTAATTTTAAGCACCGTTTTGCAGTTTCAGCGGTTTTAGTTATTAAAAATGCTTATCATTAATGCGTTCTACTTACCATTTAAAATCCTGTCTAATTTTGAAAACGCCCTGTATATTAACTGAGCTAGTTGTTGCTTTTAGTTGCATCTCAGAAAGCAGTGACTTTTGACCTTTCATTTATTTCAGTCTTTTTGGCCTAAAATGATCCAATACACATCGTGAAGTTATTAAATATACCCCGTATATAAATTCCAAAATTTAACAGTAACTATAGTACCTAGTATATTTTCAATTTCTTATATAATTTTATTTTTTATTCTATTAGTTTTTCTGAATGACAAAAAGACAACTAAAAGACTCGCAGTATGCCAGGAAGTGAAAGATAAGAAGAATTCCAATACAATTTTTAAGAAAATGGCAAATAATCAAAATTGCAGCAGAATTAAGATTAGCAATTTCAAGTTATATTTCCAAATAAATACTACATATGCGCATTCTTAGGGTCTACATAGTAAAATAGTATACCTAGTGCAAAAAGTATTAATTTTTGATTAATTTGAAAAAGTTGTGTCACGCACCATAGCAAAATGCTGTACTTAATCCAAATGAATAAGAAATTAACATTTCTGCAAAAGTTGCACACTATACTTTTTCTGCGGTCACACTTTTTCGCGTTTACAGAAATTCGTACTTAATTACTGTATAAAGTATTCTTTTTTCTTACGGAAGTATTTTAAATATAATATTAATTTCTGTCAATTTTTACATGTATTAACTTGGATTGACATTTCTAAGTTGTGAAAACATGTGCCGTGCTTCCGGCTACTATTTGAATTGTGGGTAACTGCAACTAATCCTTTGTGCATACATCTATAACAATTGATATACACGACCATGCAGAAAAGCTTTGCAACACATAAGCGACTTTGAGCCACTCAAAAAAAATGTTTGAGCTCAATATTTCTTTAATCACTGTATTAATACTAATAGTAGTAATAAATATAATAAATAATGACACTATTTACATGTACCACTTATGGAATTTGTTCGTTAGTATTTTTGTAAATTTATAAAAAGTATTGTGTTAACCAAACACATTAGCTTTATTGTCCACTATTAACCTGACCAAAAGCCTTTAATATAAAGCTAAAATCTATTTACTACAAAAATTAAATACTATATTTAAATATTTCACTAAAAGAGAAATGAATAAATTTAAATATGTTTTCCACAACAAAATTAAATTCCTACTATAATTAATTATTTAGTTTTAAAACTATGAAATACTACGATGTTGCGTTAATCAATGTTCTAAGTTAGGCAATTAAGATGCTTTTAAGTGCCAGCGTCTAAGAAAATTCCGGGACAAACGACAAACTTATGTAATAAAACGAAGAATTCTTTGCTGTTGTATAGTCGACGTTCAGGTCGTCTTCGAAATTAGTACGTAGGTGTATGGTAATACACCGAGTCACATATTTGAAATACACAGTCATGCAATGCAAGATATTTACGACATCCTTACCGTAAAGTTGTGTACCGTTTATTCTCAATTCGACACCACTGTCACCTGCATTGTTTTGTTTGAAATCGATTTAGCCATTAGTGCCAGTGAGATTGATTTAGAATTGCATAAACTAAGAGTATTTCATTATACATGCGAGTGTATAAAGTGGCGATGGATATGAAATTGTTCGTACCGTTTATACCAAATGTCAAATAAATACATGTGTGTTTGATTCAGGATTCGCAAGAATGAGAGACCAAAATAGTGTTTTCATCAGTTCAGTTTGTACCAAAAATGAATAACCAACACAAATAAATTAACTACACTATGTCTTAAAAAAAAGTTGAAAAAATTATCATATTATAGGATGTTTATAAACTTGGAAAAATGTTTTAAGAGTAAATAAATCCATATTTATCCACAAACAACCAATTCTCACTTCCAAAATTCTTCTTATTTTTTTTTTTTTCAGGTCCTTAATATCCTTATCAGGGTGTTGGATGTCTATTTCATCTAATCCCTTACTTCTGGGTCTTTGTGAGCTTCCTCATTTCCTATAATATTTTCACTTTCTTCGCACCTATTTCCTCTATTCATTTCTCTCAGATTTTCCTTGGTCTACCTCTTCGTCTTCTCGCTGTTCTCCTCGCTTCTATTGACCATATTGCTCTGACTCTATCTGTCTTTTCTATCTTTATGTTGTCTTAATTCTACTTTCTATTATTCACCACCATAATTTTACTTTTCTTCGTGTTCATCACCACCTCTAAATTTTCTTTTCCTTCCAAATGTTAAACTTTCATGTTGAGTCACCATTAAAAGTATATCATCTGCGTTCATTAATTAGGCTATCGATTTATATCGATAAGAGTTTTCTATAACCTATAGTTGTTTGAAGTCATTTCGTACTTTCGCTTGCGCTTTTTAAAACTGTATCCATGGTTATTATAAATAGTAAAAGACTCAGGCTATCTCCCTACTTCCCTTCTGTATCTATATTAAATGAAATAAATATCTCTCTTTCTGTTTGTACCGTTCGTCTTGCTTTTTGTAAATGCTCTTGCTGATTTTTGTAAGTCTTCCTCCTACTTTTAATTTTTCTAGGGCTTTCAATATTAATTGCCTATTGATTGAGTCGAAAGTTAGATAAAGTTATTCCCCTTCTAATCACTTTTAGTTTGTTTGCTTGTTAGGTTTGTTGCAGCTATTATAGGTATATCCTTTGTCTTAAGCGGCTGGAGGATAGACATATTGTTATATAGTTACAATTATTCTGTTCTCCCTTTTCATAGATTGGTGCTTTGGAATTTTCTTCCCATTGCTTTGGTATTTTTTCTCTAGACCATGATTCATTAGGTATGTCTAGAAGCCACTGCTTGCCTTTGTGCCTTAGGAATATTATCATTTCTGGGTCTATATCATCCCATCCGTACGCTTGCCCTATTTTCGTCTTTCGTAAATTTTCTTCTAGGTCCCTCATTATTATTTATTCACAGCGTAATTCTTACCTCTATACCTCATCTCCTGTATCTCTTCCTAGTACCTGTTATCTAAATTTACCTCGTAATAGTTGCCCACACTTCTATTTCCTTTCCTTCGTTTCAAATTTTTCTCCATTTATGTATATCATATGTTTTACTAATTTCCTTTCCAAATTTCCTCCATGTATTCGAATTCGAGTTTTATAATTCTATCGTGACTCTTCTTCTCGTTTTTACGTATTCTTCTTTACCTCCATCTATTTTTGTTTGTTTGACATGCTTCCAAGCTATTTCCTCAATTTAACTCTCTATTTTTCTTTTTAGATTCTGTACCGTCTTATTTGTTCCCTGTTGATAAGCCCTTCTAATATGATGCATCATTTATATTTATTCTGCTGTAATTCTTATTTCCTATTCCATCTTCATCTTTTTGGTTCAACGCTGCTATCACTAATCTTTGTTGGGTTCCAAATTCGGCTTATGCCATTGTTTGTATGTTGTTTATTTCTTGTCGATGAGATTTTTCGCTTTTCGTTATTCTGCCACAAGTATATTTAACTTGAAATGGTTGGCTTGAAAAAGTTTACCTATGAACAAGTTATTTGTTTGGTAGAAGTCCAACATCTTTCGACCATTTTCATTTAGTGCCCTTTCAACAAAATATCCCTATAGGCAAATCCAAGAGAAAAGTTGAGCCTCTGTTGCTAATTTTGTTCTGTTAAACATCGTTTTTTGCCGCTGAACAATTTTTTAAGCCTCTAGACCTTAACTGTTTTATAGTCTTGTATATCCAATGACAGTGTATTTATAAACATTTTTTTTTCTTTCAGTGTACGATGCTACTGCCAAATCGGTAACCGGAATACTAAGAGGCAGCATATTCCAGTTCGGACAGTTTGAAGAATGCTTAACGTCCAAATCACCATTTCCCACTCAGTATTGTCTGACTACCGTAACAGCAAATGTGCCGACGTCAGACCCACCACGAGATCCGAAATCCCTATCCTATAACGGAAATGAGTTGATTCTTCGAAAGATTTACGTAAGTTTAACCATAATTGATTAATACTTACCTACTTTTATTACGTAGAACGTATAGTTAGACGCAGCTCAAGAGAAATTGTTTAAATTTGACCACTAACAGTGCGTTCTCTTTTTAATGTGACAGAATGTTTTAGGAAATTCTACAAGTTTTACGTCTTTCACAAGATGTTATAATAATAATATAAATAAGTACAAATTTATTCCTAAAATTTGGGCAACAAATCTTAATAAGAAATATTGCTGGTATTTTATTATGTTTCGTAACTTAATTATTAACAATAATGTAGGTGTCGTTGTATATAAACAACAATGTTTTAATAAAAATGTCATTTCTATTCGGTGACTATTAAATAACGCAAGAATTAAAACTTTACACAAGAAGAACTATTGGACACACTTCCTTAAAATTAATGCAATTTACCCAAGTCATATTTATACATTGTTATTTTAGTTTTACTACAATTAGGTGGGCTTACAATTGATCTAAACAACTGTGATATGTCCACGAAAAAAAAAAAAACATGTTACTATTACCAGTTTTTCAAAAATCACTTGTACGCCCGTGGAAAATTGATCGACTGAATTGAGGCAAGAACTGATATCTACCGAGCAATAGCGCAGCAACAAAACTGGAACACTAAAAATTTCTCTCTCTCTGCGTTCCGAATGGTTATTTTCTTTCAAGAAAAATTTTGTAAATGCTCTGTAACGACATCAATTTACAAAACCAACACCATAAAATGGAATTGTTTAACTGAGAAATGCAAACGGAATTCCTAGGAAATTTCTTTATACAATACAGGCTGCCTACTATAAGAGGGTTACTCCTATGCTTTTCGCTTATAGTCCAATTAACTAAGCCTTTAAATCGAAATTTTGTCAACTTGGCTGAATTTTTGATATGAGTTAGTTTAAGGTATATTATAACAATAAGTGAGAGTAATTTTTTGTTCAACCCCCGGCCAAGGGTGGAAAAAGATAAAACAAAGGGCTTTTTCAAGATAACTCAAAAAGGGTAAGAGCTAGAAAAAAAAGTTTTTCATGAAAGTTGTAAAGCAGACAATTCTACATAAAAATGGTCTCTTAGCTTTTTCTTGTACTATTAAAATTAACAGAGTTAGGGAGGCTAGAAGTTAAGGGAAGATTTCAGAAATTTAATTTTGTTAAATCATTAAAATTAACGATTAAAAATTTGATTTTTTGTTATAACTTTCTTATTAAAAATTAAAAAATATATCTATTTCTCTGAAAAGAAAAGTTACATATTTTAGAGCAGATTGAAAAAAAAAATTACAAAATTCAATCATTTTTCTGTTTGTTATGATTTTTTTTAAATTTCTGAAATCTTCCCTTAACTTCTAGCCTCCCTAACTCTGTTAATTGTAATAGTACAAGAAAAAGTTAAGAGGCCATTTTTATGTAGAATTGTCTGCTTTACAACTTTCATGAAAAACTTTTTTTTCTAGCTCTTACCCTTTTTGAGTTATCTTGAAAAAGCCCTTTGTTTTATCTTTTTCCACCCTTGGCCGGGGGTTGAACAAAAAATTACTCTCACTTATTATTATAATATACCTTAAACTAACTCATATCAAAAATTCAGCCAAGTTGGCAAAATTTCGATTTAAAGGCTTAGTTAATTGGACTATTAATATGCTACGTACATCAAAAATCTTCATATGTTTTTGTTGCATTTTTTTATGAATTTATGCTCGAAAAAACAAATTTGAGATCCACGGCCAACTTCGTGAGTAATCATAAAGTACCGAAAGTTTAGGGTCGTCTGACTTTTTTATTTTAAGAAAGAGAGAAAACTTATTTTAATAAAATTTCATAGCAAATTTGATATTTTTCACATAGCGTAAACAGATTTTTAAAGCATCATATGTAATTTTTTATAATTTTGGTATAAAAAATGTAGACATGTTTGTGTTAACATAGAAATTGTTATAGACACGTCAACACAAAAAATATAATAAATATAATGTACTTCTTTTAAGAAAAATACAGAATTTCTTTGCACATTATTATAATATTGGTTTTTTACTTTAGAGAAAACTGAACCTTCAACATTGTTCTTGCACAGACAAAGCAACTTAAGCTAAATGTAGCACACTATGAAAACAAATATGTTATCACAGTATTGTCATCATTTAACAAATCGTTTATTGTTAATAAAATAGGAAATGTTAACAGAAATTTAAATTATATAAATAGGAACAATTAGCAAAACAGTGAGAGATTGAAGTAAACTACACTGTAAAAAAGGATAGTTGCAAACAAATGATTTCAAGTGTTATAAGGTGAAAAATGTTTGTGACAAAGTGAAGAAGATAAAGGAAATTAGGGTTCTGTAGGTGGTGACAAGAAAGAAAGAGAGAAGATGTATCTAGTTTTTATAACAATGGATGGCCAAAATCTAAAATCTATTATGGGTGCCAAATATTGCAGATTCTTTGCTTAACAGAGGTACATTCATTAAATTCATTAGGTTTTTTATAGTTGACATGTTTAAAACAATTTCTACATTAATCTACATTTTTGATACCAAAATTAGAAAAAATGTAATAAGTATAAAAGATAAAGGCGACATGTAGTACATCGCATGAAAGAGGAAAAAGCAAGCAATTTTTTGTATCAGACTGAAATAGATGGACGTAAAGTAACCAAAAACCTAAAGATATTTCATAATTTTTGACAAAGTTTTTTGAACATTTTAGGTGACGAAATTACTGTAGAAACAAAATTTATTTACGATAAAGTCGATCTCATCAAGTAATTCGAAAATACTGTCTTATATTTGAATATCTGAGTGCAAAATTGTATCTCATATGATTTGATGAGTGTCATTTTTTACCCAGAATAATTTGTCATGTAATAATGATGTAACGATGGTGAATTACTGAACTGAACTAACAAGAAACTGTTACTTATTACTCTGGTGAGAGTAGAATAAATAGGAACCACAACCACTTTTGTTTTTTCAATGTAAAGTTTAACACTCAATTTTTGTTGTGTGTAGTTATACGACAAATTTTGTATAGAAAAGTCAAATACCCATACCCCGAGTCTAAGACTATCTACCATTCACTTACATCTTTAATTTATGGACTTTACCCACCTTTCGAACAGAGGCAGAGTAAATTAATTATTATTATCCTAAATAAATTACCCACGTTGAGGCTTCGAGCGCTTTAGATTTAGTAATTCTTAAATGAAAATTAGCATACTGAATGTAATTAGTCCTATGAAATTAAAAGTTTTACTTGAAACGAAGTCAGCAGTGAGATGTAAACTTGACCTACATCAAGGGTATTACACTACGGTTTGTGAATAAGTGGAATTATGTAAGAAAGTAACCAGTACCCGGAAAAATATTACGGTTTAATATAACAATCTTTATTTTAATCGATAGATACAGTTGTATATAATTATACAAAAAATATCTTCAGAATGGTAATACAATATTGCAGTGACAACAACGATAGTTAAACTATAACTTTTTACATTTCTTAAGAGGTATTAAGTCAGTGTTAATTACTTGTATAAAGGTAGAAAATAGTTTTTTTACTACCTACAAACTAATCAAATATAAGTAATGGAAATAATATTATAGTTATGTACTAAAAACCTAAATGAAGATATATTTACATACACTAATTGTTATTTAATATGTGCGTCTATTATAATAGCAATTTTGAAATTAAAATGGCCGTTAAGTATACTTAGCGGCGATTTTAATTTCAAAATCCCTAAGAAAATAATATCTTCTTCCATAATTCTCGCATATTTTACATGATAACCTTCATTTTTTAATTAGTAGTAAACAAACTCTGTTGCATCAATTCAATACGTTTATCTTTTATTAACTCATAAATAATATATACCTACCTATGGAAATATTATTGGATCTGGATATAGTATATCCTATCAACAGTATGGAACATCCAAACGGAATAACATCCTGCAAAGAAAAAAATTAATCAATAAATTCATTCTCTACTATAAAATGCGATAGTTTTCATATTTACTGTAAAATTTAATTGTAAAAAATAATCAATTCATCTGCTTGACGAAATTTCCGACAGCAAACTAAAAAAAAACTTTATTTCAACATAGGAGATGTTCAAAGTGATTGAAATAGAACCTTGGTAGCATTCTAATCGTAAATAAAATATCTTCTAACGTTTTCCAACATCCGAGGAGTGGCCGACCTAACCTCAACCGTTATTTTTCTTCTCAAGTCAGCTATGTCGCGTGACAGTTTTGTATACCATATTTTTCAGATATCTCCATAAAAAGAAATCTAAGGGTGTAAGATCAGAAGAATGTGCTGACCATTCTAGCGATCCTCCCAACGGTTTGAAAATGTAGGTAGTCGAAGTATTGTAGATTTGCTTGAGCATTATATTGATAAGTTTGCCAAAGTTGGCACTATTTTGGAGCAGAATTAAATAATTATCTCCATCCAAATTGCCATGAATCAAAAAGGGACCAATGACATTGTCTCCAGCTAGCCTCGCCTAAACATTAACCTTTTCAGGATTTTGCGTATGTACAGGTATGTAATTCCAATGAGGATTTTCATTGGCCCAGTAGCGAGAGTTTTGAAGATTAATATGGCTGTGAAGAGTAAAACATTAACTAGCTGGATAACATTGTTATATAACCTTTGCACAAAAATACGTTCTTCTGCCAAAATCGTCCTCATTAAGCTCTTGAGGTGGAATCAGTTTATAGAGATGCACTTTGCTTTTTTCTAATACGCGAATAATCGAGGAATGGGAAACATTCGATGAGGAAGCTGCTTGTCGACTATGTGAGTTTTCTTCAAACTCAAGCAGTACATCTAATTCAGTACCATTACTCATTGCATTGGAAGCTTCTTTTTTATCTGACATACATGTCCATTCTCGCGAAACTGCTGTTCATTTTTGCTAATTGCACCATGGGATATAACCAGGAAATGTTTCTTGTAATAGGCGAGCAACTTCTCTATCT